CTGGGAGTGGCTGGTGATGCCCCAAGGGCTGTCAAATGCACCAGCAACATTTAATTGTTCTGTGACGCAATTGTTCAGGCCCCACCGGGCGTACGCACAGACATACTTTGACGATATCCTCGTCCTTAGTCGTGTGAAGCCACATCGTTCATTTAAGAGCGGTACTCGAGTGCATATGCACAAATAAGCTGTATGTTAATACTGGTAAGTGCAGCTTCGGTGCAGAAAAAAAGTGTAGGGTGCTTCATTGGAAAGCGTGGCCTTTGAGCGGATGCCGCTAAGGTGAAGGCCATTGTGGACTGGCCGGTTCGAAAAAAGCAACAGAACTTGCGCAAGTGGCTTGGCCTCGCCAGCTACTTGCACAAGTGTAGTGCACTTTATGCGGAAATGGCACGGCCATTGTTGAATCTTCATAGAAAGAATGCAGTATGATGTTGGAACAGCAAGTATCAAGAAGCTTTTGATAGGCTCAGAGACAGCCTCCTTCATATACCAATACTGGCGTTACTAGACTTCAATTATTTAGTGTCGTCTGTGACGCTTCGGACTTTGCCATCTGCTGTGCAATGATGCGAGCAGACATCGAGAGGCGAGAGAAAGTGATTGCGTTTGAATCTAGTCGGCTGAAGGCTTCGAAGAGGAGCAACCCAATCCTCGACTTAAAAAAATACTTGCGATGAAGTATGCACTTGTCAACTTCAGGATGCACATGCTTGGCTCGAAGCCGTTTGCAATCTACGCACATCATGCATCCTTTCGCACTGCGACTCAGTCGCCTCACCTCTCGCAGAGGATGACCAGGTGGCGGTCCCTCTTCGCAAGTTATAACTTTTTTTAGGTGAAGTATAAACCAGGAAAGTAGAATGCTTTGACTGATGCATTGTCACGCAGACTAAACTATGAGTTTGCTCAAATCACGACGGTGATGTTGTCAGTGACAGATTACATCCGCGCCGCATACGCGAATGATCGTATGTGTGTTGCGTTGCTACAGGCGCTCGGGAGCAAGGAGCCTGGAAAATCGGACAGAAAAATTGTCGGCGCGGTTGCGCGCACAATTACACCGATATATGTTGAATAACGGGTTGCTGTATTATAGCACCGATTCAACGGACGCGCCACAAATTGTCGTTCCTCACATAAGAATTTGAAATACCGTAGGCCCACAACACCCCACTCAGTGGTGTTCTCGGTCGTAAGATGATGTACAGCTCGGTGAGTTGCCACTATTGGTGGTTCAAACTGTACAAATGGACGAGCAAATATGAGCACACGTGTGGGATGTATCTGAGGGTGAAACCCTCTCCGAATGCGGCAGCGTCGCTGGCCGGTTAACCGGTACCCTCCGTTGGTTGGCAGTCCATGACTTTGGACTTTGTGTCTGGCCTGTCAAAGAACTCGGCGGGCAACATGAGTGTGGTGGTCTTTGTGGACCGTTTGAGCAAGATGGCTCATCTTGCGGCAGTGCCTGGCCCCATCGACGGTGTGGGTACAGCGACGCTATTGGTGAATCGTGTCTTTCGACGACATGGACTCCCGGAGTCAATTGTCTCTGATAGAGACCCGCGCTTCGCTGTAAAGTTTTGATCTACATCCTTCAGGGTGCGAGGCAACCAACAACTTGAGTATCTCAACAGCGGACCATCCGCAGAACGATGGTCAGACTGAGCGTGAATTGCGTCGTTCGCAGCGTCTGCGCTGAGACACCGAAGCGCTAGAGTGCTATGTTGCCACTCCGAGTTTGCTCTGAACAATGCAGTGCATTTATCTACCAGCCACACGTCGTTCCACAAGAACGTGTTCGTAAATCCTCGCGTCCCCCTGACGCCACCATCCCATGACGCATGGCTTTGTGGGGTAGCAATAGCCAAGTGGTTAGCTTATGTCAGTCCCCTTTCTGTTCATAAAGAAGTTGATGACTTTCTGTCTACAAGACTGAGTGCCTGACGACACGTTCGCGATGCAATGACTAAAAGGCGAGACATGCAGAAGGAATATGCAGACGGACTAAACAGAAAAAAATATTAAAAACACAATATTAATTTAAAAATCTCTCTACTCATGCAGTGTCAGCTGTCTTTAAGACAAAGCTCCATCCCCGGTCCATCGGACCTTTTGAGGTCGTGACAAAGCGAGGCCAAGCGTATACGCTGAACCTTCGGAGAAAGATGCACACCCACCTGGAGTTTTTTGTGGGCTTGCTTCAGCCGTACCGGGATCCGGCGCAAGTGAACGCGGAAGCATTGGCGCCGAGGCGGCGCATAAAAGCGCTCGACCACCAGGAAGCTGAACAAACAGCTGGTTCTGAGCACGGAGTGCGACAAGTTCCGTCTCCAACGGCGCAAGGCGCTCCACCATCGCACGAAGTGACATATTCGCCTGATCGACGGCTATGAGCTGCTCTGACAAAGCGCGATAGTTCTCAACGTGAAGCAGTCGGTGCTTAAAGTTCTTCAGGCTCTCCGGGTCTTCCGCAAAGCGGTTTGCGGCCTCGATAAGATGCTCGGCGGAGTGCAGATGACGACGGACTTGGTCCTTGGAGCTCGAAGAGCATCGTGAGTTTCAGGACGGTGATCGACAAGTCGTCGACGTCCAGCGCTGACTCTTTTCAATGAGAATGGCGACGTCCACTACCACGTTGAATGCCTTGAAAGTCGACGTCGGCGGCGGAACTTAGCTCAACATCTTGTGAAGTGGCGGCGATAACCAAACTCTGATATCTTGTGGGAGCCTGAGGTGCCACTTTGGCAAGACTACACAGACGTCGCGGACGCTTATGACCGGACTGATCATGACGCTTTGCGTCGTCGTGCGCACCGCGCTTCTCGAAAGTATCCCAGAAAGCCGGATGACCATGAGCTGAGCCAAGCTATGTCCCTGAGCTGCTGTGGTATTTGACTCACCCGTGTGAGAAACCACGGAGTTCACGAGAGCGTGGTAGATTGTTCCATATACCACAGGGATGTCCTCGTCGAGGAGTAGAAGGAGGTCGGATACTTCTTTCCCAGCATGGAAAGATGAGGAAAACGAAGTGCGTCAACGGCGCGACGTGAGTCCAGCTCGAATCTTGCGGACACCATGTCCGTTCCCCGACCTCTCGACTTCCGGGGAAGTGGTATTGTTACCAATCGCCTCGACGATACGCAGTAGCAGCATTTGAAGGCTGATATGACCTTGACTTAGCTTCATCCTGCAAGATGTGTCATCTTGTCCAAACGGTCGT